GGATTATTGCTTTTAGACTATGGACAGAAGCTGATAGTTTTGAGATGTCCAGATGGTTGACCTTTTAAATGTTAAAGTATTCTCAGTCCGAATAAAATCCTAGTTAAAACGGGGACTGATAAGATTCATCCAATGACTGCAGTCATTGGTCAGTGTTAAAAGAGATTACTGTGAAGAGTGTTATTCTCTCATATGAAGTAAAACCTTCTACACTTTGCACCTAAAGCATGGAAAGATGACCTGAATGACTTTCAGGGCAAGAATTGCAGAAGTATAATAGGGCTTTTAAAGTATTTATTTTACCATTGATTAGGACGATCACATATTGAGCCCTGAATATATGTTAGCAGTAAAACTGAATCTGAGTATCTATTTTTTTTTTTATTTTGTGTCAGGATGGTATGTTTATACTCCATCTAAAAACTATAAGTCATGCAGGTGCCAATTTATAAAGAGAAACAGAAGAATCCAACCTTGTTTTACACCTTTTTAAAAACAATGTTCTGTGTCAAGAGAGCCATTTTTGGCCCATTTTCTTAATCTTACTTTGATACTTATGAAGGTATATTAAGAAGTCTTGAATCAATATTAAGATCACACAAACTAGCCCAGATCCCAGTCTGTAAAGTCAAAGACTAAAGACAGTTTAATACACAATATAAGAAGTCTTCAATTATTTTTGATAGTGTTTTGGTTAAGGAAAACAAAGTAGAACAAATAATTAAGCATAGATTAAGGTCACTAGTTTTATATACAAGCTATTAGATTGAAAGACTGATGAATCCAGTTCATCAAGAAATAATATGGAAGCATTTTAAAAGAATTCAGCTTATTTATGGATATCTGTTGTATAGTGCAGTTTAGAATGACCTTTTAAAAACAGGATGAAATAAACATTGCTCCTGGGAAAATATTACAAAAAATTACCCTTATGATGAACAATTCTGCAAATATTAGGGTAGAATTTGGGATTCTTACTTAAAATATCGTAGAGCATTTTTCAATTTTAGAAAGTTAATTAGTTATCTTGTCTGGAAGTATTGGACTCCAACTAGATAAAATTCTAAAACTATAATATAAAAAAAGTTCAATGAGAATTTGTGACCAGATCTTTCCTCTTATTAAGGTCACATGAACAGCACAATGTCCTGAGCTGAACAAATGTAAAGCACAGTGTCTTCCAAATATATTGTTCATAGTCTAGATATGGTAGAAATAAGATTAAAGAGTTGTTTAAAAACTTTTTTTTTTTTTTTTTTTTTTGGCGTCAAAGTCTTGCTGTGTCACCCAGGATGGAGTGCAGTGGCACAATCTCGACTCACTGCAACCTCCACCTCCCGGGTTCAAGCAATTCTCCTACCTCAGCCTTCTGAGTAGCTGGGACTACAGGCGCCCACCACCACACCCGGCTAATTTTTGCATTTTTGGTAGAAACAAGGGTTCACCACATTGGCCAGGCTGGTCTTGAACTCCTGACCTTGTGACCTGCCTGCCTCGGCCTCCCAAAGTGCTAGGATTACAGGCGTGAGCCCCCGCACCTGGCCGAAAAACTTATTTTAATTACATTTTTTTTTCAGTTGACTCCTATAAATGCCCCTTGAAAGTAACTTGAAAGTGTATTGCTAGTCAGTGAAAAGAGCCTTTCCTTCTGTTACCTCAGCCCTGAGCCCTCAAGTCAGGTTTCAAGTCAGATTACTTAGAAGATGGAAAATAATAATGAAGATTTTTTTTGTTTGTTTAATCCCATTGTTTAAGATACAGAAGCAAAGCGTTATACTCTTAACACCATAAAAGGTTATTTATGTTATTAAACCCTTTCAACTCTCTCATTCATTCATTTAGTAACGGTTTACTGAGTGTCATTCATGGTGCCATTTTGCAAACAGTCAAGTTTTCATGCAGTAGCACCAAGACGATTGATATGGAAATTTATTACTTAAGAATGTCCACCCTATAGATGAAGAAAAACTGAAAATATTAATCAATAGTGTTAGCCATTTGATTAGTACGGTGAATGAAGTCACATTTAGATTTATCCTACAAGCTGTTCTTATTAATAATAAGTTGTGGCTATGCATAAGTTAGATCAGATGCTTCCTTCTTTGGTTAACCTGACTATCTACAGATGTGTGAGCTCCATAAGGAAGTAGACTTCTCATTCCAGATCTTTCTGGAGTAAAGTTTTAACAGAGCCATTAATCTCAGTATTCAGATCATACGTAATGATTATACCTGCCAGAGTATCTTAGTTATAAGGGTTCAAAAGACAATGAGATCGGGCTGAGATAATGCACACATTCACGTATCCATAACAAGTAATATTATATACTTTATATATGCTCTTTTATCAGTTAGATAATAAAGATGAAGGTATATGGGTTTGATTAGTTGAAATTTGCCTCTGCTATTAACCAATGTAAAAATACCCAACTTGTTTGTACCTTCTCCAAAGTTAAATTTTGGGATAGCTCCGAAAGTGATATCGATTTTGAACACATAATATTAATGTCCATAAGGGAGACTGTTTATAAAATTAATTATGTGCGCTCTTACTGAGTACTCCAAAAATTACAGAGTTACTGTATGAAACTAGTACTAGCTAACATTATGGAATTGGGAATGACTATTTGGTAACAGATAGGCTTGAATCTAGGCATTATCTTATTCATGGAATCTTGTTCATGGAAATACATAGTAGCAAAACAAAAAATGTTTCTAATGTGTTATCACTGATGTGATAACCCCATTAACTTCCTCAATGAAAATAGTGGTCCTGTTTCTCTGGAGAACATTTTAGAGATATTAGGGTTTTCTTAAAGGAATTTGATAACTTAGCATATTATTTTATCTTAATTATCTTTTAAGAGCCCATGAAAAGAATCTAATTTCCCAAAAGGAGGTAGAAAATGCAAAATCAAACAAAAACCCCAGTCAGCTCTACTAAGAATGGATGCTAGTTCTCTAGACCATTCCATACTCCACTCTAAAGCCTGATAATTGAATCATGGCCGCTGCCTGTATACTTACAATTTGTAGATTTTGTCATATTTTCAGATAGATATTAGTTGCTTCAAATAATTGGGCTGAAAGGTGATATGTTTCCTGGTTTTTCCAGAACTTTATGTTCCGCAACTTAACACTATTTCCCCTCAAAACATAGTCTCTACCCATAAGACATCTTGAATCATTTCCTCAGGAAATATTAAGATATAAATATAAATTCTGTTACTAAACAACAACAAAAAAATCTAAGTCCATGATGACTTTTTCCAACTTTATCAGTAAAAGCTTTTTTTTTATTATGTTTTAGTATATAATTTTAATAAGAAATTATTGATGAAATTGTTAGTAGAGTTTCTATTTATATATTCAGTGACCAAGAAATATCAGAGGGAATAATATCAAAAAGATGTTTCTGTGGGTTTTCCAAATTTAAAACCAAAATAAAAAGTAGCTTACAGAAAAATAAAATTCTTAATGCTACAAAAGAAGTTGTGTGTATAGCTGTCTGAATATCAAAATATGTGATCTGTTGCTGTTAAAATCTAGAACCGCCAACTTTCTTTTTAAAAAGTATTCAGAACAGTGTGTATATTCCCAGGAAAAATAATCTTTTTGCTCACTATAATTACTACCTCAAAAAGATTGTTTAAAGAAAGAATTAATGCTCGTAGAAAAATATCAAACTGAAAAACATTTAATTAAAGACAGATTTGGTTATTTTATAAAAGCAAAATCACAGATGCCCTGTCATTTTAACTCTGTGTAGTTCAGTATGTGTATTTTAAGAATTATAGATGTTTTCTTACAGATATATCATTTCTAAAACCAAATGTAGTTTTTTGTTTTCTTTACATTTTTTGGATAATTTTTCAATACAAGTTTGCCGTGTTACTTCAGAAACACACCATTCTTTTGGTGATTCATACAAAAAGTTATTCTAAATATCTGAAGTTATTGTGTGTATATGTACTTTCTTATATTTAATTGTATTTATTAATGCAGTAATTCTTTAACAATTATAACAAAACTTAATTCTACAATGTAGGTCTGCTCCCAAGTGGGTTTTGCTATTCTAGACTAGGTAAAATATAAGTAGAAACTATTTTAGCAGTCAGTTAGAGAGTACAATAAACTGCTAAAGAAAGGACTCACATTCTGAATCTATTTCTTGTAAATTCTAGAAAAAAAATGAATAGTTACAGATGTAAAGATGCATATTTGTTTCGATTTGTAAAATTTTGATGGATTATGTTGATTTGTCACGATGTTTGGGTTTTCTGAAATAATCTAACCTACCATATTGAATTTCATGAAAATACAATCAGTGTGACTGAAAAGTAAAGCTTGTACCATAAAAATACAAAAAGTTTATGGAAACAGTTACGATTTTTAAAAGTGTTACACGATTGTTTTTAAATCAAATCCAGGTAGCCTTTATCTCAAAGGCTTCTATTTATGTTCAGTATCCACAATTAAAGAAATATCTCCACTCACATAGCTATACTTCAACCATAACTTATTATAAGTATTACTTCATATTTTGCAGCTGAACTCCTTTGGCATATGATTTTCAGCCCTTGCGTATTTTCTTTGTCTTTCAACAAATCTATTAATATAACAAGGGATGAGAAGCACAGTAGAAGTTACCCATCATTTGTAAATTTTGCTACCTTATTTTAAAGTAGCTTTGCTAAAATATGCAAAAGAACAATAAAGAAAAACTTCTGGCAATATCGATGTTCTTTAATACATACATTTATATATTCATGCTATCTCTGTTGTTCATGAAACATAGTTGGCTTTAATATTCATAAAGTGGAGTGTCAACCTTATTGTAAAAATAAAGAAATGTAATCTGTTTCTATTTCTGCAAGTTATTCCCATATTTTTATTAAATCAATACTTACACTACACAACATCAATTCCTACTATCAGTAGTATGCTTGATTTTTCTAAAAAATTGATTATAAGAATTGATTTTATATTTTGGTCAACAGATATTCCACATGACGTATGATCTTGCCAGTGCAGTGGTGAGAATTTTTAATCTCATCGGCATGATGCTGCTCCTGTGTCACTGGGATGGTTGTCTTCAGTTCTTAGTACCACTACTGCAGGACTTCCCACCAGATTGCTGGGTGTCTTTAAATGAAATGGTTGTAAGTAATTTGTATTGTTTTACACTCTGACTTTTCAACGTTGTGCCAAAACCTTTTAAGTAATTATGTTACAATGATCTGATTTCTCCTCTATAAATATTTACAGACAACTTGATTTTGCTTCTATGAATATAAAATCAGATGTTATGTTTGTGGGGGGTGGTTACAACTAAATTTTACCTATTGACTATGTTCCTGAGTACGTATATGTTACAACATCTACTTTTATATATTTTATTCTGTGTATACTGAGGCATATCTTATTTCAAAGGTATAATCACAAAATATGACCATGGCACAGCATTCTTTCAAAAATGCCTGTGGCTTAGAATAACTCCTTATTTCATCAACATTTTAAAGCATTCATTATGTTCAAGACATACACTTTTAGGGATTGTAAAACATGCAAAGGTAGGTACATCAGCATAGATATAGATTAAATATGTATGAAGTGAAGTGAAGTTTCAGATACTTACTTTTTGCTAGGGAAAATAAGGAAAACTTCGTGGAAAAGGTAGGCTTTAAACTTACCTCTGAAAGATATGTAAATATTTAAAAATCTACAAAATATAAATTTGATTTAAATAGCTAGGTATATTCCTATGTAATTTTAAGAAGATATGTTTTGATCTATGTAGCGCAACACTCAACACTCGCAAAAGAATTAAAAGAACTGTGAATATTTTAGTAGATATATCTATAAATCTCTCTATATATATTTATACACACTCACGTATGTGTTCACAAATATTTGTTCTTTTTGTGTAAGTTCCCATATTTTCTTCCTGCATTACATTTTAATTACATTTTTACTTAATAAAACATTGTTTAACTGTGAATAGCCCTCTTTGATATGTGACATTTTATGGCACTTTAATTTTATGAGATTTTTACACTTTTCCCTTAGGTGTAAATCAAATACTCTCTTTTTTCAAACTGTTCTACTATTGATTTTTTGGCTTATTTTTGTAGAAATGACATGGACACCGAAGATTCCTAATGATTGTAGCACAGGCTTTCTATTTGGGAAAAAAAAAAAGGCGGTTTACATTGAAAGTTATGATGCATTGTCTTCTTTTCTTCCTTTTCTGTCTTCTTCCCTATTTTTCTCCTTCCTTCCTTCCTTCCTTCCTTCCTTCCTTCGTTCCTTCTTTCCTTCCTTCCTTCCTGTTTCTTTCTACCTTTTCTATGCTTTCATTGATATTTGGCCTGATATTTATTATATTTACTTAGATCTCACCTTCATTAATTTTGCTTGTATATCACTAAATCATAGAGAGCTTTCCTGACCACCTTATCTTTTATATTATTCCACTGGTTTATATGTTAATAATAAAGGCATTTAGCAACACACACACAGATACACACACACACACACATACACACACACACACACACACACACACACACAAAGAGAGAGAGAGAGACATACACTCTTATTTGTTATTTATATTTTTCTGTGTTCCCCACACGAGAATGTAATGTCTGTTCTCGTCTGTCCTTTATTTCCAGTGGTGTCTTGGTTTATTTTGTGCTGCTATAATAGAATACTACGGACTGAGTAATTTATAAAAACAGAAATTTATTTCTCACTGCTCTGAAGCCTGGAGAGTCCAAGATGAAGGTGCCAGCAGGTTCAATTTCTATATCTAAGATGACACCATGCTGCTATGTCCTCCAGAGAAGAAAAATCTATCCTTCACATGGCAGAAGGTGGAAAGACAGGAACACACTTCCGAAAGCCTTCTTTAATCCATTTATGAGAGCAAAGCAATCATGACCTAAACACCTTTATTAGGCCCCACCTCCCAACATTGTTGTATTTTGGATTAAGCTTCTAACACATGAATTTTGGGAGTCACATTCAGACCATAGAAAGTGCCTAGAATAGTACCTGACACATTAATTTGTTGTGATTTAGTCACTTATCATTGAAAGTTTATTTGAGAAATATTCTATATGGTAGTTTCATAAACTAAATAACAAAGTAAGCAGTAGTTTGGTTAGCTCATTTTTCAAACCTATGATGTCTACTTGATTATAGATCTGTCACTTTACTTATCTTTGAAGGAGTAAAGTATATGGAAAAATAGTAATAATGATATTTTTCAGTAGAAGAAAAGGCAATAACTCTATAGTCTGGCTACTGACTGAGAGGATAGTATAAAAACATTAGCACTACTGCCAAAAGATGATTCATTGGCACCAACCAATATTTAATTTGGTAAAAATTTATTATTTTACATTTTTCCTATGTGTCTTTCAGAAAAATACCAATTATCATCATAGAAATAGTAAAATAACTATTTTGGAATGTCTATAAAGTATGTATGGTAGTATAATTATAAGGCAATATACTATTTAATATATCTGATGATAATGCATTTATTGAAAAAAATTCTGGATTATTTTTCTTTAACATGTCTATATGTGCTCAAATGTGTGTGTTGGTGTGTGTGTGGTATGTGTGTGTAGTATGTTTATTCCAACATAGCCCAACCTTCCACCTTTTTTTATATCCTGACATTATACAAAATATCCTTCCAGAATTTGCAATTCACTTCTTGGCTTTTTTTTTTTTTTGGCTGCAGACTTACATATGAAATTGGTTTTTATTTTCTTTTGTGCTTATTTAACATTATTTCCATGTGTAACTCTAATGTAGAGAGAAGGAAACCATCATGTATGTTCAAATATAAAAGCCATAACTTATTTTATTATTTTTTGAGATGGGGTCTTGCTATGTTGCCAAGACTGGTCTTAAACTCCTGGCCTCAAGTGATGCTCCCACCTTGGCCTCCCAATGTGCTGGGATTACAGGCATGAGCCATCATGCCTGGCCTAATTTATATTGTGTATAATAGCGATGCGAAGGAAATAACCATAAAAAAAGACCATTTTTGAATCAACAGAGAATCCTTATAATATCATTTGACCTTGAAGATACTGTTTTCCATTCTAAAGCTATGGAGTTCTGGTAAATCGTTTATTGCAATAACAAAAAGCAAAGTATATTTATGCACAAAGAGTTATAATGGAAAAGTGAAAATCCGATATAAAAACAAAAGCACCCTGCATTTATTTAACACTTAATATATACAAAACTCTGTGCTTTGAAGGATGCTATCTTATTTGGTCCACACAGCAACTAAATGAGGTAAACATTATTTTGCCCCACTGTTTGGTTAGGAAAACTAAAGTTTTTAGAAGTTAAATGAATAGTCAGTGTCACACAGCTAGATTATAGAACTAAGAGTAGAATGCTTACATATCTGACTCCGTAATTTCTACTCTAAACCATGTTGGAAGGTTTTGTGCAGCATACATTATAAAGAACAGTTAAGGAAGGTAGTAATAAAGAGACAAAACGTATCAGTTAAAGCACTCCAATTGCAGTAGAAAATCACGTTAAAATTAACGTTTGAGCTCTGACACTAAAAAGTGGCAAGACTGATCTTTTGTGAGATGTAGAAAACCAAAATCAAGTTGCGAAATCAAAAAATTAAGAAAGCCAGGTCAAGATATATGCAGGAATGTACTAGTCTGTCTTGGGTTTGGGCTTGACAAACATGCTATGACATTAGACTCTGATTCTAAATTATTTATGATAAAGATTAGTGGGTCTAACAAATTCTTTATGTTTATTATTTCTTCTTCATTGCTTCCTTCCATCACTAAATGAGTTTTGTTCTTAAATATTAATTAGTATATATTTATATCCTCCTTACCTGTATCTGCACTTATACCCATGCTTTTATCTGTATCCCACTAGCTAGATGAGGAGAAACTCAAAGTCAATGCTGTAATTATACTATATCTGTAACTGTAGTGTTGATAATTTGTTTAATATATCTATTCCTATATTATAATTCCATAAAAGTAGCTTCAGTTCCTCTCAGTGAATTCCTTTGCAATCTTGCTATATTGCTCATTAAAGTTTTTATTCAAATATTATTTTTAAAAATTCAATCACTAACCATCCTGGGTGCTATGGTTTAAATGTATCCTTCCAACTTCATGTGTTGAAAACCTAATCCCCACTGCAGAAGTGTTGGGATGCAAGGTCTAGTAAGAGGTGATTACACAAAGAGCAAACTGACCTCATGAACAGATTAAAATTGTTATTGGAGAAGGGGGTTAGTTATAAAAATAAGTTCGGCTATCTCCAGCTCACTTTCACATGTGATTGCTGGCCCTTTCACCCTTCTTTCCTTATGCTATGGTAAGGGACAGCCCAAAGGCTCTCACCACATGAAACTTTAAAAGACCTTGGGTATCCCAGCCTCCAGGACCGTGAGCTAAATAAATTTCTGTTCATTATAAATTACCCATCTGTGGTATTTTGTTATAACAACGGAAAGTGGACTAAAAGTGCAGCCTACTTAAATTTACCAGGAAGGAGATACTAACTAGCAAAACACAACATGAACAGGAAGTAGCTTTGCTTTGTGTTTATATTATTTGTTTTTGTTTCATTCAAGAAATAAGTCTGAATTATAGAATTCTAACTGGATGAAAATCTTGGATATGGCAGATAATTGCTTTCTAATAAGATTAGTTTAATCCCATGACATTTTGTGACTATGTGTTTAGGTATACAACACTAAAATTACATTAAATCATTATAAACGAGATTGGGAATAATGGTTTTTTTGTTAAAATTACAAGTATGAAATATTCATTTTAAGAATATAAGAAAATAAATGATGCTTGTTAACTTGCATATTAATTTTGAACTGAATCTCAAATATCTGATATAACCTAGGGAATGACTTTATAGAACAGATAAAGAAGGATTTTCAGCTAAACAGTACATTCCTAGAGCAATCTTTCTTTAATTAAAGTCTATAGGTTCACTGTCAGGGAGTCCATGTTTCCTACTAGCAATCTTATAAATGTTTGGTTACATGTTAGTAATAATTTTGAAAGTTTTAACATAGCATGTTATGAATTTAGGATTATCTGAATGTCATACATATGGAATCTGGATATGCTTTTGT